GGCCTGGATAAACTGAAGCAGATGGTGGTTAGAAAGTCCAACCAGAGCCTCTTGGCTCAGTATGGGATGGAGATGGGGCGAGGTGGGGGAGGGGAGCTCCCATAAAGGATTTCAAAGGGTGTTAGTCTGAAAAGGTGTGTGTGGGGGGTGTTACAAGACCCAAGTAGGGCCATGGGAAGGAGCATGGTCCAGTCTGCACTAGTCTCCAGGGTCATTTTAGTCAAGGTTTCTACTCATCCTTTCTATCTGACCTGAACTTTGGAGTCTATAAGCACAATGAGTTTCCAGTCAATCCCCAACATTTTAACAATTCCCTGAGTAACCTGAGAAACAAAGGCAGGGCCATTATTGGACCCCAGGACCACAGCATCTCAAATTGGGGAATGATCTCTTCTTATAGATTTTTAGTCACTATCTGGGCAGTTTCCTTTTTGGTAGGAAATGCTTCAGTCCAGCCAGAGACTATATCAACCATAACCAGTAAATATTTAAAGTCAGACCTGCCAGGCCTTACCTTGGTGAAGTTGATTTCCCAAAACCTTCCAGGAGCTATACCCCTCTCTTTTACCTTGTCCTGTTTCTTTGTGAGTTTTGCGTTTGTTTGTTGCCAAGATAGGCAGTTGGTAGTAATATCCTGTAAAAGACTAGTTAGCTCAGGGATAAAATAGATGTGACTAAGCAGCAGCTGTCCTTTCCTAGGTGGGTCCCTTGGTGGAGCTGCAGGACCAAGTGTCTACCCATAGATCTTGGCCATCAGCTGTCTTTCTCCATTTTCGTCCTTGATACCCATTTTTGATCTGTCTCCAGGTATCCTCATCCCCAGGACCATATAGTGGGTCCTGGAGCAATCAGCTTGTTAGGCAGCTTCATCTGCTTTTTTGTTTCCCATTTCTTCCTCTGTCCTTTATGATGACTGGGGCAATGGGTAATTGCCACTTTATAAGAGCCCTCAAGGGCCTGGAGGAGGCCCAGAATCTCCTGCTTGTTTCTAATAGTCTTTCCCTGGCTGTCAGGAGTCCCTGATCTGAGTATATGCCCCCATGGATATGAGCTGTGGCAAAGGCTTGCCTGCTGTGGCTATAAATATTGACAGCTTTACATTTCCCCAGTAGTGGGGCTTCAGTGAACTTGATCAGCTCAGCCTTTTGTGCTGATGTGCTGGGTGGAAAGGCACTCTGCCACAAGACTGTCCAGTGTGACAACTGCTGCCCCCATTCGGCATTTGCCTTGTGCCATGTAACTGTGAACATTTCAATATGACATGAGATAGGAAACCCCCAACCCTGCACAGTCAGGTTGCCCAGGCCTATCTTGTAATTTGTCATTTTCTTACTGATTTGTAATGGCTTTCCTTGCTGCATTTTATAGTGGTGTTCATGTTTTTAAGTTAATCTCTGGCCATGGCTCATCCCTCAGGTCCGGCCATACACCCTAGGTTTGAGCCAGGATCTCCCAACAGTCATGTTGTGGCCTCTCTTGGGGCACTGGCAGGAGGGTTTAAGGCCAAAGACTATTGGAAGAGAATCCGAGGAGAGTTTAATAAGAGGGCTTGATAATGAGTCAAGTCAGGTGGTGGTCATCCAGGGGCCTGAAGGCCCATAAGCACAGT